TCCTGCTGTTTCTTATCCAAAAAAAAGGCACCGTTATGGGTATCGGCAGATAGAGAGTTTAAGGAGAATCCTTCTTCCTTGAACATTTTAAATTGGATGGATGTACTAAGAAGACTGTTGTGTTTTCTTAGTTTTTTCTCGTTACCATTATGTACTTTGCTTATATTTTTCATTTTGTATTTTTCTTATGCTTTAGATGATACCTTGTTTTCTATGCCTGTAATTGATTATTTCTTCAATGAAATGTATTTTTCTTATAAAAAGAAGTTCTACACTGATCCGATCGGCTCTCCTTATCCTTAAAAACTAGGAATTCAACAAAATAAAAGAAAATAATAACACCTATCTGACAAAGCTAACAGATAAACCTAGGAGAATACGGAACCAACTTAATAGAACATAAATTTTGGATTTAGATGTGTGTGTGTGTGTGTGTGTGTGTGTGTGTGTATTAGGTTATATAATCCCACATATTTTCATTATTTATTGTTATGTGGCAGCTTGTTGATAAAGATTTTGGGACTGGTGTCTTGAAGATAAGCCCTGGACACGATCACAATGATTATTATCTTGCTAGAAAGCTTGGTCTCCCAATACTTAATGTGATGAACAAAGATGGGACGCTTAACAATGTTGCTGGACTGTACAGGTAAACAGTTTTTGCATAATCTTGTTATGTTATTGAAAATGATTGTTTTTATCTTTTGTTGTGCCCAATTTGGAAATGGTTTGCCTGATAATATCAGCGGACTTGATCGGTTTGATGCTCGGAAGAAACTATGGGCTGATCTAGAGGAGACTGGTTTAGTTGTAAAAAAGGAGCCACACACCTTAAGAGTGCCCAGATCCCAGCGTGGTGGAGAAGTGAGTTTGTAGTATTCTACCAAGTATTCATACAAATTCGAAAGACTGCATACTGTAGATACCATCTCCATGTTTGATTGGTTTTGTGTTATTACCTATTTTCTTGTTCCTTGTTCTTTGCCCTTTGATATGTTAGGTAATTGAGCCACTAGTAAGCAAGCAATGGTTTGTGACCATGGAGCCCCTAGCGGAGAAAGCTCTTCAAGCTGTAGGACAAGGAGATTTGAAAATCCTCCCTGAAAGGTTTGAAAAGGTTTGTGGAATCATCTATTTCACTACCATCGGTTCCTGCATTAGACTGAAATGCGAGATAAAAAGAAAAAAAACAAGAAAATAAATTTTTCTTATTTTATTTAGTAACATTTTTAATGGAGTAAACGAAATTGGGGCAGAAACAAAATGATTTTTGATGATTTTAGTAATGGTAACTTTGGGATTTGGGAATGAATAAAATCCTGGGTTTCAAAGTTAAAATAAATTATTGATCTTCCTTTTATTTTGAATTTGTTTGGGTGGGCTGATTTGATTTATTCATTTTTTTATTTCCTTGGATTTTGAAGGAGGATTTCCTGCCTTCATTGTGTATACTATTCCTTTTTTCTATATGAGTAGAGTAATTTTTACTTAACAATCTGTATAAATAATGATAAGTGTGAGTGCTGTAACTTAGCTTCAGTTTTGGTTGCTCTTCTATATCCCTGTGAGAGTAACCACCCCGCCCTTGTATTTTTGGTCATCTAATAAATGCCTCACTTGGAAGGGGGAAAACACTAGATAGGTGCTCATCATCATTAGAAACATTGGAATATGCGCTTCCTTCAAAGTCACCAAGCTTGTAATCTTCAACCTTCTCTAGATCCTCTTGTGAACACGTTTGTGTTTAGCACTTGGGTGTGGGTTTGGGTACAGCCATTCACATTTTTGACAAATATGAACTCCATGGTGGTCATCTCTACAAGCCTAAGCATCACATATTGATTTTCTAAGCTCAACACCATGAATTTGGTCTCGTTCAATCTGTATAAAGACGAGTTTAGAATTGGTTCAAAGTGCTTCATTGTTTCTTTAGGACAAGATGGGTGTTATATTAAGTTTGAGGAGGTTAAGAAGAATCGTAGATACTCTCTCTTGTGCCATAGATGCAGCTTTCTGGTTGAGTGATACTTTCGGAGTTGTTTGCAAGCCGGAAACTGGGAAGGGGTTCAAACGTAAGTTTATGAATGGAGGGGGTGAGTTTTTAAAGATAATGAGGGTTCAAGGTGGGGTGGTCAGGAACTTATTTCTTCCAAGAGATAACCAAGACGGGTTGGTTGACTTTGAAGATCAAACTCGACGTGATTTTGGGGAGGAGTTCAAACAGTTCTTACCCTTTGGGGTTTAGGGGACGTAAGAAGGAGATAGTTGTGGAAGAAAGAGGAAACACAAGGATGGTAGACAACACGGGGAATCAAGAGCAGAGGAGGGAGGTGAGTAATCATTATAAACACTCTCCCTCGCAATTTTGAACGAGAAACGGTGAATAAAGCTGTTCCAACTGAAAGTAAGATGGTCGAGATAGCTAAATCTTGGAAAACGGCTGTGGTAGTTATTGGAAGGAGTGTGGATATAGAATGGTGGACCTTAAAGGAATTGATCGGTTGTAGATTGGCGAGGCCGGCGAGGTGGTCCCCGTGGCGCTAGATAAAGCCGTTATTTAGTGCAAAGATGATGCATGGAGGAACATGCTGTTGACAGAAGACTATTCTGCAAGAAAAACCCAATAGCGCGAATGGAGCTATGGTCGATGTATTCTCATTGGGAGTATGTGCAGATAGAAGCAAGGGATAGTTCGATAGGTATTTAGGGTTTACCTTTGAATTTGCGGAATTATCATGCCTTTAAGATCATAGGAGAAGCTTGCGGAGGCCTCTTAGAAATTGCAAAGGATACTTTAGATAAATCCTTTTTAATGTTTGCCAAGATTAAAGTTAGAGGTTTCAAAGGACTTATGGCACCCATTCTGGAGGTCCCATGCCAAGGTGAGAGAATTCATTTGGGTATGTTCAATTTTGTGAAAAATCAAAGTTCTTCCAATGGTAGAACACGGGGGCCGATTTTCAAAAGTATTGAAGGGATTCCACGAAAGAATGAAGTATTTGTTAATGAAGACATTTGAGTTTGATTGGTGGTGCAGGGAAGGAAATCTGGCGTGGGAATTGCAACGGACGGCAATAGGGTAGGAATTTTGGCGGTCGGCGACAGACGGGATGGAGTTGAAGAGGCGGGAGGAAGTTCCAAAGTGGAATCTTCTTCGACATGGATTCCACGTGGAAAGCTGGTTGTGGCGGATGATTCATGCATCCCTGTGAAGTCCTTCCAGTTCAACCACCGCTTTTAATAGAAGTGGGAGAATCGAGAGGAATTGTAGTCGAATAGACTAGTCTTGGTCTTGAAGCCTATCAAGTTCCCCTACCGCCTAAAAAGAGGAAATTATTCCCTTGTAACAACTTTGGGGTTTTGGGAGACTCAAGCTGTTCAGAAGGAGATGAGGGAGTTAAAGCAAACAAGCCTATTCAGGGATTGGGCTTACATCAGTTGAGCGTACTAAGAGTAATCAGGTAATGGGAGAAGCGAAGGAAGGCTTTGATAAGGCTTGTTCAGAACCAAATAAAGCCCTAACAACCCAAAAGAGCAGTCGGTGGAAGCCCAAAAGTAAGTCGGATTTTATCAGGGCTAAAATTAAGGAGTGGGAAGATGATTTTCGGAAGAAAAATCCCAAAAAGTCTGTCCTGCGGTATTCTAGCAACGAAGAATTGGAAAATCGAAAAATGAAACAATTCCCTTTTTTTTACTGAAGAATGAGAAAATTCAACAAAACCCTAGCAGTTGAAGTCAAATTAGAGGGTGACAAGGAACCATATTAGCTTTTTCCAGAAGAGGGTCTACTGAAATTTGATCGGGACAGCGATTTTCCCCCACGAGGAGGACATGCCACGGACAAAGAGAGTGGGTCTCGCTCATTTTCATCTTTTGCTCGACGGAAGAAGGTGAAAAAGCGGAGGACCAGGGAGGCTTTTTTGGTCTTGAAGACGTAAGAATCTTTAAGGCAGTAGGTGATTTAGAAGATCTAGTTATCGAAGATGAAAGAGGTAATAGATTTCTGGGTTTTTACGAAGAACAAGTCCTAAGCCCAAATACCCTAAATATGTCCCATTTAGCATCAGTGGTACCGGCTGAATGGGAGGACAATACGGAGGGCCGCTTGGGGGGTGAAACAACAGTAGGAAGTGTTTTAGATGTTGGTGGGATTGGAGGGGATCTAAGGCTGGAGGGGATGATATGATTTCGAAGGAAGATAACATGCAGTTATCTAGGGTGAATAAGGGCAGTACTGCAACAATTGGCTGAAAAAAGGTGGTGTAAAGTTTGATCAGTGCTTCAGAAGATGCAACTGCAACTGTTAGAATTGAAGAAAGCTGAAGGTGTCACAAGGTTAATTAGGAGTTTAACGTTCAATATGAAAAGAGTGCTAACGAGGATTCAAGAGGTAAACAATGAAGTTGATGTCTTGGAATATTAGAGGAGGAAACTCCCCTCTAAAGAGAAGGGGAGTTCCAGAGGTAGTATGTAAGGAAGCTCCGGATGTTTTGATTATACAAGAAGTTAAGTGAAGAGAGGTTGATGAAAGATTTGTGGGGAGTATATGGCAGTCCAGATTTAAAGACTGGGTCTTGCTGCCAGCTGTAGGTCTTTTGTGGGGAATCTTGGTTATTTCTGACGTTAGAAGAATCAAGGTAGTATAGGGTTTTTTGGGAGAATTTTCAGTCACTATAAAGGTTGAGGATGGAGGGGATTTTTGGTTGCTTTAAGGGGTGTACGGCCCTAATCATTACAATAAAAGGGGTTGTTTTGGGTTGAGTTAGCAGGGTTATGGAGTTTATGTGGGCAGAGATGGTGTGTGGGGGGTAATTTAAATTTTACTAGATTTTTGTCTGAGAAAAGTTGTAGCAGTAATCTCACTAGGAGTATAAGGATTTTTGACGAACATATTAAGGAGTTGAAATTATTCAACCCACCTCTACACCGCGAAATTTAGATGGTCTAATTTCAAAGATTTACCCATTTGCTGTAGATTGGACCGGTTTTTATTTTCTAGAGGTTGGTGGGAAATATTTCTTTTTGGGCGACAAGAGGCGATAGTTTGAGCGGTTTCTGATCTCTGCCCTGTTTTGTTTTACACAAATCCGCCAAAATGGGGGCCTTCTCCATTTAGATTCGACAACATTTGGCTTGAAAATAAGGAATTAGTGAGACTCATGAAGGGATGGTGGGAGGGTTATAAAATAATGTGGAAGTTGAAGTTGTTGAAAGAAAAGGTGAAAAGTTGGAGTGTGGACTTGGTGGGGGCTGATTAGGTAGAGAAGAGGAAAATTTTGAAGAGGGTTGAGGAGATTGATCAAAAAGAAGGAAGCTCCGAGTGGGTTGTGGAATTGCAAGAGGAGAGGTGGGAGTTAAAAAGAAGATTTTTCAGCCTTATTGAAAAGGAGGATGGGCCTTGAAACTGAAATGTAAGTCTATTTGGGCCAGAGAAGGAGATGTGAACACTAAACTATTTCACAGATTATTGAGTGCAAGGAGAACAAGAAATACAATCTCGAAATTGGAAACAGAGGAAGGGGCAATCTTGGATGATAAGGAGGAAATTACAAAGAAGATTGTTGAATTTTATGAGAAGTTGTATGAATCACCGCGTGGCAAGTTCATCGGAGTTCAAGGTTTAGAGTGGAACCTTTTCTACTATGGCAGCAGAATCTCTGGAGAAGCCTTTTGAAGAGAAAGAAATCAAGCGAGCGGTTTTTAGTTGTGACGGCAATAAGCCTTCCGAATGGGTTTTCAAGAACGTCGGCATTTTGTGAAAGGTGATATTCAGAAAGCTAGGAAAATTTTGGGGTCTGGGATTATTAATAAAATTACCAACGAATCATACATTTGCCTTATTCCCAAAAAGGCGAATTCTTGCAGAATTAAAGATTTTAGACCTATCAGTTTGGTCTCGAGCCTATATAAAATTATTTTGAAGGTGTTGTCGAATAGGCTCAAAGTGGTGCTTGAAGAGACATTCTCAGAAGTTCAGGGGCTTTTGTGGCTGAGCGACAGATTCTAGATCTTCTTTTGGTGGCAAATGAGGTGGTGGGGCATTACAGGTCACCAAGAAAGGAGGGGGTGGTGGTAAAGATTGATTTTGAGATAGCCTATGATGACGTTGAATAGGAGTTTCTAGACTTCATTATGGAGAGAAAAGGGTTTGGCGCTAGGTGGAGAAAATGGATAATGGGCTGTATCGGGTCAGTCTCGTATTCGCTAATGATCAATGGTAGGCCAAGGGGGAAATTCTCAGCTTCGAGACGGTTGCGACAGGGAGACCCTTTGTCCACTTATCTTTTCACTATTGCAGTTGATGTATTGAGTAGGTTAGTTGACAGAGCTGTTGAAAATTCCCTTTTTAAAACCACTTAGTGTGGGTAGAGCAAATGTGAAGGTCAGCCAATTATAATTTGCTGATGACACATTATTCTTTAGCTCATCGAAGGAGAACAGTTTGTCAAATCACTCTTCTATGTTGGATATTTTCTGTTTAATTTCAGCATTGAAAATAGATTTGGAAATAAGCATTATTTTGAGTATAAATTTGGAGGACAGAAGGTTGTCTTTGCTGGCTGGAGTTATGGGCTGTACAGTTGGGTCGTGGCCAGTCAAATACTTGGGGTTACCTTTAGGTGGAAATCCCTTGCAAGCTGCATTTTTGAATCTAGTGGTTTCGAGGGTGGCGAGGAGACTAGATGGGTGGAAGAAAGCTTTTTATCTAAGGGGGAAGGTTAACTCTCATTTAGTCAGTTTTAGCCTCCCTACCCATTTACTATTTTTCGGTGTTCAGAATTCTTGTTGGAGTGGCAAACGTAATTGAGAAGCTAATGAGAGATTTTTTCTGGGAGGGTTCTCAGAGGAAAACTTGTCTCACTTGGTGGCTTGAGGAACGTGTGTATTGGTAACATAGGGAAGAAGAACGAAGCGTTGTTAGCAAAATGGTGGTGGAGGTTTCCGCTGGAAACAGAAACTCTGTGGTATAAAGTCATTGTCGGGAGATGTGGACTGAATCAAAATGGTCCGGAATCAGTGGATGCTTTGAGAGTGACTTATAGATGCCCTTGGAAACCTGTCCATTCGGTGGCCGATATTCTTTTCCAAAGGGTAAAATGGAAGATAGGATCGGGAGAAATTGTAAGATTTTGGGAGGATTGTTGGAGTGATGGTGGACCTTTATGTTTAAGATTCTCTGCCCAATACAGAATTTCCTCACTTAAGGAACAGCTGCTTGCAAGTTTCATTTCGGAAGTGAATTCTCTTAGCGTCAGTTCGTGGGATTTTAGGTTTTCAAGGAATCTAACGGATAGAGATTGAGGGAGGGATCAGAATTAATTGCTTTTTTGGAGAGGCTTAGGATGCACATTTCGATTCAAGATAGAACGGATAGAGAATTGAGGGAGGCGTCAGAATTAATTTCCTCACTATTCACTTCGTTAACAGGCGATTCTTCGTCTACACGGTTTCCATTTTTTGAAAAGTATATGGAAAACCCGTGCCCCCACAAAAGTTAAAGTTTTCTGCTGGCTGCTCGCACTCAATAAAGTTAATTCTCATGATTTGCTGCAATGACGAAGCACGTTCACTTCGTTGACAGGCGGTTCTTTGTCTACACGGTTTCCTTTTTTTGAAAAGTATATGGAAACCCGTGCCCCCACAAAAGTTAAAGTTTTCTGCTGGCTGCTCGCACTCAATAAAGTTAATTCTCATGATTCGCTGCAATGACAAAGCACATTCATTTCAATGTCTCCAGGTTGGTGTTATTTATGTAGGGCTAATGGGGAGACTACCGATCACTTGTTTCTTTGTGTCGTTATTCCAGCAGGATTTGGGCTTTTCTTCTTAGGGAGTTTGGTTTTCTTTGGGCAGTGCCAGGAAGCTGTAATGAATTGCTGATTTTTTCTCCTCCTGTTGGTTATAGTCAAAGGGGATTGATATTATGCAGGGTTGCAGTTTTAGCTATTTTTTGGGGATTGTGGTTTGAGAGGAATAATAGTCTTTGAGGATCAAGGGGAGGATGAAGATGTTCTTTGGGACAAAATAAAATATTGGTTTTGTTGTGGGTTTATAGAGACAGAGTTATGGAAACCAATTTTTCCCGATTTCCTTAGGTCCTGGGCCCTTATATATAGCCCTGTCCTTGTTTTTGTTTTTGGGTTGTCTTAACCTCGATTATCTTGTACATTCGGAGTTGGTTCTGTTGAGGATAACTCTTCCTCTTCGTTTTTTTCTCCTTTTTGCCTTTTAATAAATCTCGTTTCTTTTCAAAAAAAAAAAAAAAAAGGGAAGGGGAGAAAACACTTTTAAATCTTCTTACTGTTGAGCCTTCTGTTGATTGCAGATTTACAATCACTGGCTATCAAATATCAAGGATTGGTGCATAAGTAGACAATTATGGTGGGGACATCGTATACCAGTTTGGTACATTGAGGGCAAAGACAACGAAGAAGAATATATAGTTGCTAGAAGTGCTGTTGAAGCTCTTAAGAAAGCGCAGGAGAAATATGGGAAAGGTGTACAAATTTATCAGGATCCAGATGTCCTAGACACTTGGTTTTCAAGGTTGGCTTTATAGATAACATAAGCTGATTTTTTAAAGTACGCAGAGGCCACAAATGCTTTCCATATTTTGTAAAGTTCATCTTGTTGTTTCTGCACGCATATTCCATGAAGAATGTATAGTTCTAGGCATATAGAACAGCGATATATATCATTATATCCTTCCAATAGAAAATGTCCAAATTTGATGATAGACGTCCAGATTATTCCAAATTTCGAAATTCTTGATGTTGCTTATATAGAAATCTTTTTCTAGTGAACTTAGAGTTCTAAGTAGTTTGAAGGACCTCTGAACATTTTCAATCGCCTATCGAGTCTTGATAATCGACTGCATAAAATGTGAATGAAGTTTATTTATTTGTTTATGTATGTGTTTCTAGAAAAAATGAGTGAGATTTAGTAGCCGCGACTGCTCCAATCAGCATGGATTCTTGCATCATGAAGTTTATATTAAAACCGAATTAGGTATCTCTTCCTAGGATATTAAGTTTAATAGGCATGCATGGGAATTTGTCGTTCCACATGTAAGTTGCTCTTTGTACTTTTTCTCATATATGCTGGTGAATGTTCATTATTTAATAGTGTACCTTCTTTTTTTACTCGTCTTCAGTGCACTATGGCCATTTAGTACTCTTGGTTGGCCAGACGTTTCATCGGAAGATTTTAAGCAGTTTTATCCAACAACAATGCTTGAAACTGGGTATGTGGTCCCTTTCAAGCCTCTTCTATCGTCCTGTGTTTTATTTTACTGTTCGTTGTTTATTATTTAGTTTTTTGCTATGTATAGCTGCATTTTTACCTGAAAGTGTTGCCTGCTATCTTCTTGTAGTGGTCTCTTCCTCATGTAGCTTGTACATAATTCTTGATCATTATTACACAGTTTACTTTTAAAAAAAAAAAAAAAAAAAGGCATACAACTAAAGTGGACTCGGTTGACATCTGAAATTTTGATTTTCTAATGGATGTGAGTGTAATTACTGATTAGTATTTATTTAGTCAGCTAAAATTTAAATTAATGATGCATGTGCTTTATTTAATAAGCCCTTACGTCAATGGTAACATTCCAATTAGTTGTCTTAAATAACTTTTTGGCTCCAGATAAAAAAGGGTAACTTTTTGGCTATATCTAGAAAAGGCAACCTGAATCACCTGCCATGCAATCATCAAGAATAAGTCAAGTGAATATTCATTTTCTGCTTGAGCATTATGTTATCACCTTCATTCATCTTCACCTTTAAGTGAATATTCATTTTCTGTTTATGCATTTGAAATTTCTTTTGTGAACATTTTTTTCCTGTAATAAATTTGCTTGCTTGCAAGGCTGTCAAACTGTAATACTGTTAACTTTTTGGCAGGCACGACATATTGTTCTTTTGGGTTGCGAGGATGGTCATGATGGGAATTGAGTTCACTGGCACAGTTCCATTTTCATACGTTTACCTACATGGTCTTATCCGCGATTCACAAGTGAGTTGAATAAAGCTACAACTCTGATGCCAATATTCTATTTCATTTTGACATTTGATTCCATCTCTCTAGGACTTCTCTCCCCTAGTTTTTGTTTTTCTGTTCTTGAGTATTGATTTAATCCTACCTTCAGCGTTTTGTAATTGTTATTCGCATTGTCTTTGTTCTTTTTTAAATATCCTAAGTTTGCTGTCTCATTTATATGTTGATCCATAATGTTTTTGGGTTTTACCATATGTTTGTAGCTCATACATTAACTTTATGTTTGTAGCTCATACATTAACTTTCTTCTATTCCTATATGAATTTTTCTATTCTTATTTGGTGGAAAGGTAACAAGTGGCACTTTACCACGATTTTTGTCCGTCCCTTTGACTTATGTTTTTGTTATTAATAGTTTTGCTATATCTACTCTTCTTTGCATTTCATTAACTTTACTCTAACCCCCAACTTTGATGTTTGATTGGACAAGTTATTTACTAATTATTTTAGGGAAGGAAAATGTCTAAAACATTAGGGAATGTTATAGATCCACTAGATACGATCAAGGAATTCGGCACAGATGCTTTACGATTCACACTTGCTTTGGGAACTGCTGGTCAGGTTTGTTTTCCTGAATATTTGATAGTGTGTGCTTTTACTTGTAGATCCCTAGTTAGCACAAGTTATTGCCTCTTGTCATCAAATCTGATGTTCTTTTCTCCAGGACCTTAATTTATCCACGGAGAGATTGACCGCCAACAAAGCATTCACGAATAAATTATGGAATGCTGGAAAATTTGTGTTACAGAACTTGCCTAGTCAGGATGAGGTGGCAATTTGGGAAAATATAAATTCTTTCCATGTATGTTTATTCTTACCGTTAAGATGTCAATTTTTGTTTCGGTTCTTATGGAAATCTTGTTTGGGCCAACCACTAAGGGATTTATGTTCTTGATTTGCTGATGTTCGTGATCCTCCCCTTGTACAATAGTTTTTCCTTTCCTATATTATTAATAAAAGTCGTTTCTTCTCAAAAAAAAAAAAAAAAAAAAGAGTTTTCTCCTGGAACTAGAGTAGAGTTAATCACACACACAAGTTCCAAGTCTCCTGTAATATCCTTTGAACTCAGGGCATTGCATTGAGCAAACAATAGGAGTAAGGTTCCTAAATCCTGCTGCTTTCCAATGCGTGGTTTCTGTCAATGAAGACATCTTAAAAATGTTCTATGTTATCTCAAAGTTTGGAAAAGGATTTTCTTTTCTCTGGTCAAACTTGCAGTTAGAACCTTGTGCAACTGACAAAGTTAATTTGACTTTTATCTCTCGTGACAAGAATTTTGATTCTTAAACGTTTATGCTCATGTTCTCTGATTTTCTCATGCCGGAATTCATTTGGCATCACAACCCTAATACTTGTCCTGCCATTTAACAAAAGATGAAACCAAACACACATAAAAGCTGCTACCTGAATTCCGACGTCTAAGTTCACAGCTTCCAGCATGAAATATATGTGAAAACATGCCCCTCTTTTTGTCCATTTATAAATTACAGCAATGTCAATACTCTCATGTGTAGTTACATTTTGTCATTTTCTAATTGTACGCTTCTCTTTTTTTTTTGGGAAAAATGTTTGCTTTCAGTTTGACACAAAGGAGTCTCTTCACATGCTGCCTTTACCAGAATGTTGGGTGGTAAGAATTTTTAAAACATATTCTGCACAACCAGGTCATATTACTCCTTCATTAATCTATTATCTTTTCCATCTTCAGATCTCAAAACTTCACTTACTCATTGATGCGGTCACTGCAAGCTATGATAAATTTTTCTTCGGAGATGTAGGAAGAGAGATGTATGATTTCTTTTGGGCTGATTTTGCTGATTGGTAGGTCTGATATTTTGTTCAAGCTAATTCTCGTCGTATAATCAGTATATTTGTCCATGTTCTGTCATCTTTCATATGAACACCTCAATAGAGAAGTAAGCATTGAAGAATTCCTTTCATATTTTTTCTTTGTAACGTCTAAATTTATCCAAGTTTTCCTGAGGTTTAAAAAAAAAAATAATAATAACAAGAAAGAAGTCCTTTTGCTCTTTTGAGGAAATGTGTGAGAGGCAAAGGTTCCAGTATTTTGTCTTTGTATAATTTCCTTTCATTAAATTTCTGTGGACCTCTGAGCTAAAAGGCCCGTTGTATCTGTTTTTTTTTTTTTCAAGGCAGGGTTGTTTCTTAAAGGGGAAAAAAAAAGAAAAAAAAAAAAAACTTTGGACCTTTTCGGCATTGGCTCAGAGGTAGTCAAGGAATTTGTTGTGTTTAATTAGGGCAAATCCGAATAAGAAGACTTTCTTGTACTTTTGGGGCACCAGAATTGTAATTTGAATAGATAATTTTATACACACGTACATACATGCGTATGTGTATAGCTACATATGTTAGAGCAAATTTTTTAAACTTCCAAAATGTTACAATCACATTCCCACGTTTGGGTCTGATATGATTTGTTTCTTTTTCTTTTTTCCTAATGTTCCATTTCCATCATTTAACCCTTCTGCAATTTTAGGTATATTGAGGCAAGTAAAGCTCGTCTTTACCACTCTGGTGGTTATTCAGTAGCATCTGTATCACAGGCAGTTCTATTTTATGTTTTCCAAAACATACTTAAACTGTTACATCCTTTCATGCCATTTGTGACTGAGGAGCTGTGGCAGGTAAATTATTTTACTATATTCAGGATTCATGATGCTAGTTAATGGTTTCTAATTTATTCCTGAAGAAATTTGGGCGAATTCTTTTCTGTATGTAAACGTGCTGTGAACTCATGTCAACTATGAACTTGATATTCTAGCAAAAAAAAAAAAAAAAAAATGGAAAAAGCATATATACATACCTATAAGCTTGCTAGAAATGCTATTTTCTATTGCCAGCATTTTCCACTCTATAATGTCATAGAACTGCTGGATGCTTATTTAAACTCAATAAATGAAAGTAATGCATGATTACTAAAGGGAATTCTCGTAAGACCTAATCCCCATAAATCAGGGATATTCACTACCAGAATATACAACCATAATCACAGGAAATATACATAACTGTAATACATGTTTTCTCCTAATCTACTAAGCTGTAAAATCTGCACACCATAATTACTGATTCTAACACTTCCCCTCAAGCTGGGGAGTGGATATTTTCCATTCCTAGCTTGCTAATAATAGACTGAAATGTAGAGCCACTCAATCCTTTGGTTAATGCATCTGCAAGTTGACCCTCGGTTGACACAAATGGAGTACAAATCATTCCGCTATCCAACTCCTCTACAAAATGTCAGTCTACTTCCATATGCTTGGTGCGGTCATGTTGCACAGGGTTATTTGCAATATTAATTGCCGACTTGTTATCACGAGCTTCATAGATCCTTCCCACACAATCTGTATATCTTCCAAAATTATTATCAACCAAAAGCTCACAAACTCCTAATTTCATAGCTCTGAACTCAGCTTCTGCCCTTGACCTTGCAACTACATTCTGCTTCTTGCTTCTCCATGTTACGAGGTTACCACGAAGGAATGTACAATAGCCTGAATTCGATCTTCTATCATCAACTGATCTGGCATAATTTGTATCCATGTATGCTTCCAATGTCAATTGATTGCCTCTTCTGAACAACAATCCCTTCGCTGGAGTACCTTTCAAGTATTGTAGAATTTGATGTACCGCTCGAAGATGTATTTCTTTTGGGTTATGCATAAATTGGCTCACCATCCCTACAACATAGGCTATGTTTGGTCTCGTATGTGAAAGATAGATTAGTTTGCCAACTAATCTCTCATAGGATTCTTTATCCACTACTGCATCTTCTGGGCTTTACAAAGGTTGTGATTATTTTCAATAGGAGTCTCCACCGGTTTACACCCTAATTTCCCTGTCTCAGTTAATAAATCCAACACATACTTCTGTTGGGATAGAGATCTCATGTCAAGAGTGAGCTACTTCAATGCCGAGGAAGTATTTTAACCTGTCGAGTTCTTTAATCTCAAAATCTTGCAATAAACACTTTTTCAGGGCCTCCATTCCCTACAAGTCATCTCCTGTTACCACTATGTCATCCACAGACTAATAAAACTGTAACTCTCCCTGAAGCAGAATGTTTGACAAACAATGTAGGATCACCTTGACTTTGCTTGTAACCCAAATCTTTCATTACTCTAGCAAACTTGCCAAATCAAGCCCTAGGTGACTGTCATAAAGAGCCCTTTTCAACTTACAAATCCTGGAGGAGCTTCCATATAGATTTCTTCATCGAGATCACAATGTAAAAGGGCATTTTTTATGTCAAACTGCTGCAAAGTCCAACCACGATTAGCTGCTAAAGATAATAGGATTCTTACCGTATTCATATTTGCAACACAAGCAAATGTTTCAAGGTAATCTATCCCATAAGTTTGAGTATACCCTTAGCTACTAACCTTGCCTTCTAGCATTCAAGTAATCCATCTTCCTTGTATTTCACGGTGAAGACCCATTTGCATCCTACTAGCTTCTTTCCTTGAGGCATTTCCACCAAGTCCCATGTTTCGTTCTTCTCAAGTGCATCCATTTCAACCATCATAGCTTCTTTCCACTCTTTACTTCCCAATGCTTCGGAGCAGTTTTTGGGATAGTAATAGTGTTGAGGTGGATAAGAAAACTTTTATGACCGCTGCTCAGCTTTTCATATGACACAAAGTGAGACAATGGATATACAGGCTGCTGAATATAATTCCTAACACCTTTTCTGATTGAAATATGAAGATCATAATCATCAACAATAGGCACATGTCTTTCATGATCTTCAGGATTAGGAGGTACCTCAACATTATCAGCACCAGAGATTGGGTTTGAATCAAGAACCTGCATTGGATGAACAAGGGGTTCTTTCCTCCTTGAATATACCTATAATGGGCGAGTAGCACTTTGAATCTGTTTATCCTTTGCTGCTGGACTCAGAGTACTTGAATCTAGCTCATTTGGTGATGGAATGGAAACGGTTGACGACGAAGGATTATGATTTTGTGAGGATGGGGAAGATGAAAGACCAAGCAAAAACAAATCTCTATCCTTATCTTCCATGAATGATGTCTCCCCCTGAAGATAAGGATTTGGAAAGTAATTCTCAACTTTAACAAATGTAACATCTACAGAGACAAAGAACCGTTTTGTTGGAGGATGATAACATTAATTCCCTTTTGTGTAGAAGAATATCCCACAAAAACACACTTCAGAGTCCTTGGATCAAGTTTACCACGGTTGTTCGAATGAATATGGACAAAAGATGTACACCCAAAGACCCTAGGAACTAGGTGATTTGTTGTTTTAAAGTCGGGGAAAAATTTTGAGAATAGTTGCATGGGGTTGTTATTGTCAAGAACTCGAGTGGGTAACCTATTAAGATAGTTTCTCCCCAATAATTTTTTGGAACATTTTTTTGGAAAAGAAAGGCTTGGGTAACAGCTCGAAGATGACTATTTTTTTGTTCTACCACTCCATTTTGTTGTGGTGTGCTGATGCATGAAGACTCATGAATGACTCCTTTTTCTTTGAAGAATGGCGACAACACTTGATTAAAATAATCTTTAGTATTATCGGATCAAACTCTTTTTATCTCAACCCCAAATTGATTTTTTACTGTGTGGAAAAAATTCTGAAAGGTGGAACTAACATCTGTTTTTTGTTTAAGAGAAAAACCCATGACACTCGAGTACAATCGTCAATAAATGAGATACACCAACGCGCCCTATAGATATTATGGACTGTAAAAGGTCACCAAACATCACTGTGAATTAGAATAAAGGGTGTTGAAGCTCTTGTATTACTTGTTGGAAAAGAAATGCGCTTATGTTTTGCAAGTTGACAAACATCACAATGAAATTCACCCACATCAAATCTTTTAAACAAACCAGGAAACATTATTTTAAGAGTTCCGAGGGAAGGATGACCAAGACGAAAATGATATAACCATACTTTATTTTTAATGGTCTCAGAAAGCAACAATAGCGGAATAAGATCCTTAGTGCTATTTTGCCCACCAGGTTCCTCAAGAAAGTAGAGCCCATTCCTCTCCCTAGCAAGTCCAATCGGCGACCTCGAACTTTGGTCCTGAAATTTATTAAGTGAAGAAGAAAACGTCACCATGCAGTTCAAATTCTTTGTGAGTTTGTGAATTAAAATTAAACTGGTTGACAATTTCAGCACATGCAACACATTTTTTAAAATAAAGTTTTGATTTATGACCACATCCCCTCGACCAGTAACTGTAGCCAATGTTCCATCAGTAGTAGCATTTTTCTTATTACTAGGACAAGGATTATAAGAAACAAATCCCTGAGAAGATTGGGTCATATGATATGTAGCCCCGGAATCCACAACCCAAGTTCCTTTTGAGAATGGCACACTAAGTGCATAGGGCTGAGAATTACCTGAAACAGCCAAGGAACATGTACCTGCACCACTTATAGGTTTCTCTAATTACCTCAGAAAATATCTCAACTTCTCAATCTCTTCTTTATCGAACTCGGATCGCTCCTAGGAGAACTCTCCTTCTCTTACTGATTGTGTCGAGGTCAAATTTGCCTGTCCTTGTCCCCCTCCTTGATTACGCTTCTCTGTCCAAGAAGTATTTTGAGTATTTGAGGGCTTACCATGGAGTTTCCAGCACCTCTCCCTGCTGTGTCGCGGCTTCTTGCAGTAGGTACACCATAGAGAGTCTTTATTACCTGCTCTTGATCCTTCTAGCAGCCCATTATTTCCTCCTACTCCGCTGGAATAGGCTTTCGGCTGTTGCTGGTTTGATTTCACAGCTTTAGGATTTGCAGCTTTTATAACCAAGGCTGAACCGTCTTTTGATTGAGTCTCCAGCATGTCCCCTCTTCGCCCTTCTTCTCCACGAATAATGGCAATTGTTTCAATGAGTGAAGGAATTTCTTCCTTTCCTAAAACTTGTACTCGAACAAGATCAAATTCAATGTTCAATCCGGCGAGAAAGGTGTAAATTCTCTCTTTCTCAATAAAACGTTTAAGAAGGGCTGCATCATCATTGCACTTCATCTCAATACACTGATAATGATCCAACTCCTGCCACAAGTTTTGTAAACTCTGAGCATATTCAGTGACCGAGCAATTACCTTGTTTGGTAGATGAGATTCTTGTCTTAATATCATAATTTGTGCAGCATCTCGGACTTTAGAATAGGTCTGCCTACAATACTTCCAAATCTCCCTTGTTGTTGTCAAAAGCATGCAAGTATCGCTGACTTCTGGCATCATCGAATCGACGAATTCCATAACTAGGTCATCACCATGGAATCTTCTTCATCCCACGCAACGAACTTCGGATCATCTGGTTTAGGTCTTGTCCCAAGAAGATGACTAAGTGTCGGTTAGATAAGGGTTTATCATTAGAGTTAAGGTTTCTAAAGTTGGAGTTTATCTTTAATTAGGATAGAGTTTATCCTTAATTAGGATAGTTTCTTTTAGGAAGATAAGGTTTCTTCCTTAGCCTATTTATTCTGTATTATTTTTTACTATTCCTGAATAATAGAAGAAAGTTTCTTTCTAGAAAATTTACACTAAGTTTGCCCTTCCCTAAGAAGGTTTGAACAAACTGAGACCACTTCAAATAGTTTTTGCCATTCAGACATCAACCTGGTTGAATATTCTACATCTCTCCTGCTGCAGTGTTGATGATTTCATTTGTTGTTGTCGGATTAGAGGCTTGTTGGCTTGTAGATTCAGAAACTTCATACATGATTTTGGACAGAAGTGGAAAGAAATCTGGGCTTAAGAGGACAGATTTGAAAAAGAAAAAAAAAACGTTCTATAATAGTTGGCAAAGTGGGCTGGAAAAAACATAACTGAAAGAAGAAAACGAAATGGCAATTTAGGCCAAAAGGAAAAAGAACTGGAACCTTTTTCCAGAAGCTTTTTATGCGGCAATGCAGGCCAAAAATTTACAAGGATTCCCAGAAAGCATTCAGCTCTAATACCATGACAAAAAGTGGGGAAATTTCTTATATATTTAACTGAATAATGTACAGCAATATATAGGAAAACACTAGGCTATAAAAGGGAATTCTCTTAAGACGTAATTCCCGTAAATCAAGGATATTCACTACCAGAATATACAACCATAATCACAGGAAATATACACAGCTGTAATACACGTTTTCTCCTAATTTACTAAGCTGTAAAATCTGCACACCATAATTACTGATTCTAACAGTTTTTCCGGGAATGAACTTTTTGCAACTGTAAAATGGATCAGTAATTATTCGATTTTCACTAGTTAAATAGTCATTGTTCCATTCTTGGTATTAGGTGTCTTCAACTTTTCTTGTTTAGTGAGAAGCTAGGAATTTATTGAGGAAGGACAACAAACCAGAAGTGTTTCAGAAACTAGATGTCTTTAACCAATTGATTCTCGAAGTGTGAAAATTGCTAAACGTCATTATTTATTTATTGACTTTCTGAAGAAACAAAAACTTCATGTCTTTCAATTTATATGCAGGCACTTCCGAACAGACAAGAAGCTCTTATAGTATCTCCGTGGCCACAGACTTCACTTCCAAGGGATGGGAACTCCATAAAAAAGTTCGAAAATTTACAAGCATTGGTGAGTTAGTGATGAATGTAGCATCATGGTTTTCTGTCAAGACCTCTTCACCCAACTTTCCCTTGGAAAACTTTTATATCTTTTTGTTGCAGCATGTGGTGGTAAATACATCTTAAATCTTGCTGCTTTATAATTCTCAGACTAGAGCCATTCGGAATGCTCGAGCAGAATATTCTGTTGAGCCAGCAAAGCGTATATCAGCATCAGTAGTTGCAAATGATGAAGTCATTCAATACGTATCTGTAAGTGCTGTCCACTTATTCTTTATAGATTAAGGAGATGTTTGGTTCATGGATTAGAATCATAAGATTAGAACCATTTTCGATTTACGTGTATTTTTTGTGAGAGAAAACACTGTAGCGAACCATGAACCATGATTCGAATCAGGGTACGAATCCTCCAACCAAACAACCCTTAAAACTTGGGTAGCACCTTTACCGAGCCTAGCCAAAGTCACGCTTCTGTTGTCTTTGAGTTAGGTAGATGTATCCAATATGGCTAGGTCTTAGATTCAGATCAGGCTGTCTGGACAGGTCCAGTCTGCAAGAAAATAAAAGGGCCAGGCCTAGCATTTTCTTGTACTGAAGTTTCTTCTCACATATAATATTTATTTATTTTCAGTGTATAAAGTAGTAGAGGTAGGCACTTAATATCTGATGTGTGTATCAGAATGTTGGGAGTCAACTGTGAACATCTTGTGATTTATTCCCCATGATCTTTCAGACACCCATTTTGTCAATATTCCAAAATGAATAGATTGTTAAAACAGCGAGGCATCTGATAGATAACGGGTATAGGCCATGTTTTTAACATAATTTGGTACATACTACTTGTTTGGAAAACGTGGATCCTATATACTTGAGTTCATCAACGTGTCAAGCTTCTCCAAATACGTTTATCCTTCAAAATGCTCCACACGTAACCCACAGATTTTTGCTATAAAGAAAATGCCCATAGTTTATAGGATTTATGTCTGAAAGAGAGAAAAAACTGTCCACATTCCGTGGTAGTGGTTGAAACTAATTGCTATAAAGAAAATGCCCATAGTTAGGCCTCTAGATGAATTCGATATCAAACTCATATATCGGTAAAAAATAATGTGGTCTATAACTAGTTCAACCTTCCAAGGGTATTTACTTTTGCAAAAGAACAACAAACATTAGATATTTAAAGAATCTTTTTAAAAATTAAAAGAAAATAATGATTGTTTCGATGACATGGGATGGTCAGCGTATCATTTTATAAAGAACGAGATATCTAATGCAAAGGTTTCTTTGTTTTTTGACACTTCATAAATTGCTTATAATTTGTATCCTTTTTAAATACTCCATGTTGTTGTATTGTTTTTTTGCAGAAAGAAAAGGAGGTTCTAGCGCTTCTATCCCGGCTAGATTTACAGAACGTGCATTTCACAAATTCCCCTCCAGGTATGTCTTCTTACGTAATCTTGGCGCAGAAAGAGAGGTTTTACATATTTTTTCTATGTTAATATCCATTCATCATTTTCTTGTGATCAACTGCTGAGCCATTTCTTTGGGTGGATGTGATGCGCTGTACTTCAGGGAATGCGGATCAATCAGTCCACCTAGTAGCTGGTGAAGGACTGGAAGCGTATCTTCCTCTTGCTGACATGGTTGATATTACTGCCGAAGTTGAGCGGCTTACTAAGCGCCTTTCCAAGATGCAAACAGAATATCAGGGACTTGCTTCACGTCTCAGTTCTCCTAAAGTATTAGCATCTTATACTCGTGTTCAAGCATGAAACCTTGATATCTAATGCAGTAATTACATGGTCAGATGTTTCACGGACCTAGATAAAACTAAAGTTTTTACATTTAAAAAAAAAAGGGGCAGAGAATTCTAGTTCATTTTTGTTTTTATGGAAGAAAATTTTCTAAATGGTTTTTGCAAAACTGTTTCATCACTTTCTTGAAAGCGCGGGATGAAGGTTGCTACACCATGCAATAATGTTATGAGCCAAATTGTGGAGTTGATAGGATAGACGAATTACTGTGTTTCCTTTTCTTCTCATGTTAGCCTCATGTGAAGTTGATCTTGAGTCTTGACTACCATGTTCCTCTTCCAACATCTTAGTTGATTTGTGCAGTTTGTAGAGAAAGCTCCCGAGGATATCGTTCGTGGTGTCCAAGAAAAAGCAGCTGAAACAGAAGAGAAGATTACTCTCACCAAAAACCGCCTAGCTTTACTCAAGTCCTCTGCTCTTGTTACTGAATAGGCTCCATCCAGTCAGGATATGCCTCATCCCAGATCAATGGCTTCTGCATTTTGGAGGACTGGTGGTACATCAGTTTCCGCTCGTCTAGGAGAATGAAGTGTTTTAGTGAAAACTCCTGCCCTCGGTCGAGCATATGGCAACATGGAAAGAGTAAAAAAGCCACAGGTAGATTAGCTAGCTTTTGATAGGCGCTCTATAATACTACTCACTTTGTCTTCACTCTGTCATTATTACTATTCTCGTTGTCTATTATTGCAGTCTAATAATCCATTGACACAGAGTAATTTATAAAATTAAGCTTCATGCTGTTAGCTCCACTTTTTGTCGAGTGTGGAGCTGAATTAGTCCTTCAGATTTATTTCTTTTGTTAGTCATAGTCATAAATACACGAGCCTTATTTTGTTTATTTCCTTTTCTCCTTGTATCATAATCTTACATGTTATATATGAACAACGATGTGGAATTCAGAAACAAATAAATGCAATTTATTTCTCATACCTTTGAATAGCACGTTCAGTTTTCATACTTGTTATATACGTTCATATGTTTTTATTACGTCTGTAAATATGTCGTGTAACAGGTTATTCGACAGTTTCCTGTTGTTTCTATCCGGTAATTAAACCCTTGTTTTTTTTTTTTTTTTTGCTTTGGATTAGTATTAGTAACAAGTAGTTTCTATGACATTTAACTAAATATAATATAGGCCAATGAGACATGATTTAACTTAAATATAACGATAGCAGAAGAAAGCACTATATAAGTATTTGATAAATATTTGTACAATTCAAAAATAATTTTTTTTCCTATTATATAAATGTTTGGATAATTCAAGAGAGAATAAAATACTTTTCTATCCTATTAAATAAATTCTCATGGTTTAGATATTTACTTTGTAATTTGAATCCATTTTTAATAATTCACTCTCTTTTATTTCAAGTTCATTGAAAAGTATACGCTATTTTTTGAATGTGCTCTAGGTTGTATTTTAAGTTTCAAATTGGAACCTATTCTAGCTTAATGATTGATTTTGATCCCTTAATTGATCAGTTTACCCTTACAACTTATTGAAAAATATGTAACCAAACACTAGTTGATGCATTTACCCTTTGTAGCTCAGCTTGAAAATACAGTTTTAAAAATTTTTCCTTTTTTTTTAACTAATATTTACTACTATATACATGTATTTTGAGTTATCATGAAAAGTATGCTTGGTATTTTAGATATTCTCAAGATTATACTCTGAATTTCAAATTTATATCAAATTCATACCTTTTGCTGTTTTTCAGAGTCGACAGTTGATTTTGATACTCACTTTTTGAATATTAAAAATAAATCGAATACTAGAAGGATAATTACAGAAAGAATTAACTAAGATAAAGTTTATTTGTTCAATTTAGATTAATTACCGGAGATGTACTGCCTTTTTTGTGTATAGATTTCCATAGATGAATTAATTATATTGTCGCATTCTTTGCGTCGTGTGAAAATATTATTATGAGATTGTTAGTCAAACTCCTAGTTATACGCCTACGCACAACTCGATTCTCTATTCGACTATTCCCATTCTCTCTCTCTCACGCACAATTCGATTCTCTTTATTTGACTATTCCCATTCTCTCTCTCTCTCTCTCTCCCTCTCCCTCTCTCCCTCTCTCTCTCCCTCTCTCCCTCTCTCTCACTTAGGGCTGTTCATAAACCCCGCAAACCCAACCCACCCCGCCCCAACCCAAGCCGAAAAAAGTAACCCGCAGCATTATTTTTAAATTTGCGGCTCATTATACCTCTGGCCCGAAGTGTTTGGGGCGGATTGCGGGTTGGGCCCATAACAACCCGCAATCCCCAACCCAACCCGCATAACAAACCCCCAAGCTTTCGGCCCAAGCCGAACTGCCTAAGTTCTACCCTAGGCTCGCTAACATTAGGGTTCACAATCTAATTCTCGGTCTCCCCTCCCGTGAACCCCCTCTTCTTGCCTCTTCCTTTTCAGTTTTCCCTCTTCTTTCCCTCCCGTGAACCCCCTCATAACTCTCTCCTCATTGCTCAGTTCTCTCGGCCGCCGTCTTGTTCACTTTCTCCGGTGCTCTCTCGCCAGACTGATAAGGATGGTTGTTATTTCTATTTAATGATGAAGTTTGAATATTATATTGAACTTTAAGTCTTTGATTTTTTGAATGTTGAAACCGACCACCCAACTGTTGGTCTCCGGATCGAATCCGGATGCGGAAGCGTGGTGGTGCGGGGAAGAGGCGGATCGTGTATAACAAAAATTTTCATAAAACTTTTGAGATACTCTATAGATTATATTAATTTATGCACGAATAAATTAATCTCATTAACTTATA